TATATTATATTATATTATATTATATTATATTATATTATATTATATTATATTATATTATATTATATTATATTATATTATATTATATTATATTATATTATATTATATTATATTATATTATATTATATTATATTATATTATATTATATTATATTATATTATATTATATTATATTATATTATATTATATTATATTATATTATATTATATTATATTATATTATATTATATTATATTATATTATATTATATTATATTATATTATATTATATTATATTATATTATATTATATTATATTATATTATATTATATTATATTATATTATATTATATTATATTATATTATATTATATTATATTATATTATATTATAATTATATTATATTATATTATATTATATTATATTATATTTCTTTATAGATCTTTCTAAACGGTTTTTGGGCTGACTTCAAGCTGCAGTGCAATCTTCCTGGTAATATTTTAAGTATATTCTTTTATCGCCTAATAATAATAATAATAATATTTATTTACCATAGGTAAATACATTTTTAATTGATCTAATTTAATATATTAATTATAGCATGAGTAAATAAAATTGACAATTCCACTAAAGGCTAAGCCTTGAAAGTAAATTAGTGTATAATCAGTTTTGTATTTACATTTACACCTGTATTTTTATCTAAACTCCCATTTTCACTTAATCTTGCATGTAGCGTTCTAAATGTTTTAACACTTGGAATTACTCTTAGGATATGCGTGCTTGTAAATTATTCGTGCTTTTGCCACTTTTCCATTTAATTCATAATTAATGTGCAGGTCAGTCATCTTAAAATGAAAAGTTATTCATGATGGAATCATTTCTAAATAACTTTGAAGTTTAACTTTAATCATGATATGCCAATACTATTACTGTGAATTGCTCTCCAAAGCAGGTAATTAGGTACTTGATTGGACTTGGCAATAATTTGTTATAAAAATCAGATGTGGTATGCCAAATATGTGATAATAAAAGTCATTGAAGTTGAATGTTTATTTTTTAAATCTGAAAAAAATAGTAAACCTATTTGCCTTTCAAGACGCCCCTGAAATGATCAAGTTAAATCTAATTACTTATAGTTTCCCAGATAACAATTATATATTCTAAGCATATTCTTGGTTATACTTTTTAAGAATATGCATATGCTGAAAATATACTTATTTGCATTTAGTACATTCTCAGAATATACTAAGTATGTAATAATTTATCTACTTTCATTTGATAGTACGTTCTAAGTATATGCTAAGTATTTAAATTTAGCATATACTAGGCATATACTAGACACCTTATTCCGGATGTTTTATTAATATTGAACATTAAAGAATAAATATATATAATGAAAATCGTGCACATTTTTTAAATCTTTATTTTCAAAAATTTATACTTAATCTTATTTTTAATTTAAATTTTTTCGTTGGTCTTAACTATTACTTTATTGAATTAATGGCTTGAATTTCATTTGCTTGCTAACATTTGGATCTTCATCAATCCTAAAAAATAAAAAAAATCAACACAATCAAATAACGTGTACATAACTAATGGAATATTTTAAATATTTCTGTTGAACGTAAAACATTAAAAATTGTACATGGCATTCCAATAATAAAAACAAGAGTTGCATAAATAATTATTATGTTTAGTGAAAATTTAAATATAGTTTTATAAATACTTACCATCATTTTGTAGTCTTCGTCCTCCTTTAGCTAATTTTCTAGTTCTTTCAGGTTAATTTTTGGCCTTACAGGATTATTTTTATATATAATTCTGGTAACACTGTCTTTTAGTTTCTATTCGCCATAAGTATTAACCAAATTATTAAATTCACACTGGAAATGAATATTTGGGATATTCGGTGTTCTAACATCACTCATAGGAACTAAAAATATAGTAAAATTTGTTTATTTTTATACAAAGCACACGATGCAATGATTTTTATTAATTTATTTACCTATTTAGTGAAGCGATGCAATACCAACCTCAAGCGTGATCAAAAAATTTGTTGGTTATGTCATTTTTCTCTTCTATTAAGGTTATACATGTTTTTTGTCCTGAAAACGCAATATTAGTGCGTTTGCTAGCGAATTATCAGATTGGTATCTGTGAAAAATTCATATAGGTAGATATGTACATAAACGTTTTTTTACATGTATTTGGTGTTAATTTTTACCTATAAGCATTTAGAACGTCTTAGAGTGTGATCTGCTAGGTATATGACTTTTAGTATCTTCTAAGAATGTCCTGTTATGGCACGTGTTCAGTATATACTTTTTAAAATACACTTTTAAGGCATGTACTCAGTATATGCTTTTTAAAATATACTTTCAAAGCACGCACGCACGAGTATATACTTTCTAGAATATACTTTCAAAGTATGTACTAGGTATGTTCTAAGAACATTCTAGCAAGGACATACCAATAAAAACATAAACAGATGGTTCTTAGAATATTCATAGAACATTACGTGGGTGAGTGTTGAGTATCTAAGTAATAAACAGTAATTTAATGATAGCGGTGCCATAGAAAAAACCCCTTGTGAAGTAGTTTCATCAAACTTTGACGCAATGATGTATGACGGCATTCTTCACACATTAAATTACTGTCTATTATTTCGGTATTCAACTATAGCTCGAAATATAACGAGTAAAAAAAATAAGTATGTACCAAGTTTAGGACTTTTTTCCATGTTCATGAAAATGCAAAAACGAAGCTAGATATGAGGAAAACAAAAGAGACAAAAATTGTATTTTTAGTCGCTTCATCTAAAACAAACAGAAAAACAAAAAAACTACAAAAAAGTTAGTGCCCTACTTTTTTTAATATTTGATGTGGTGGACCCAATAATTTTAATCTAGTTCGGGCTAAATAAGCGCCTTATTACTTCAAATAATCGTACCAAATTTCAACCACATTTTTTAGGGATATCTATAATATTTATAAAATACGACTTTTTTTTACCTTTAACTCAGAAACGAAGCAACTCCGCACATATGTTCATAGGATTTTTTATTCATAAAACGACCTAAGGTTCTGCCCTTTAAAGTGTCGTACCGTAGTTAAAAAATACCCTGTATAAAATTGATTTATTTTATAGAACGATGGCTGAAGAAAAATATAAAAAATTGTCAGGTGCAGCCGGATCAAAAGGAGTCGACTATCAACTTAAACTACTCCAGTTTTATCTACTTCAAGGTTACTGCATAGGTGAAAATTTTAAATTATCTACCGAAAATGAAGATGCCGCCAATTTTAATGATATTGTTTATGAAGTAGAAGGAAACACCATTTTGCTTCAAGCAAAACATTCCTTGCAGAAAAAAGCAATTCAATTTCAGCAATTATTCCCGCAAAATTCAAAAGAATCCAAAGAACCCAAAGAGAAAGGTGATTTTAATTTGTTCAAATATATAAAAGGATTTCAAAAAATTAATTTTAATAGAGATATCATTCAAAATGTCATTATGTGCACAAATTGTAACTTTTCGCCAAAAAATATAAATCAATCCTTAAGTGAGAAAATTAATAATAATGAAAATCTAGAATTTCTTAAAAAACAAATACCAATAAACAACAAGCAACAGATTTCGATTTGTTCCATTCGAAATTCAAAATGGTACTCTTTTATTAAAAAGCAGGTCCTTGTCGAATACATTTCTAAAAATGTACCTGAAATCTCTGAAAATGTAATTAAATAATTTTTAGATAAATTATTATTAGTATCAATATCTGATGATGATTTAGATTACCAAATACAATATTTAATTGAACAAATGGATATAAATGATGAGTATCTTACTCTAAAAATAATTCAGAATAGTATTTTTGATAAAATAAAAAAGTGGTTCCAATCCTCCAAAGGGGTATATCTTACAAAGTCCAACGTCACGGGATATATATCTCAAATCAGATGTTCAAATTACTTAACTCGTAAAATAAAAGCCCTATTTTTATTATCTGACAATAGTGAAAATACAGATAATAGTTATTCAAAGTCATTCAATAATAATTTACTGTTAATTAAAATTAGAAAAAAAGAAACTTATGATCTGCACGAGTTCAAGATTTATCAACTTCTATTAGATAAAATAAAAAAAGAAAATAACGCGGACAATTCAAACCAACATGAATTACTAGATAAAATGTTATTTGTAGATCCAAATGCACCAGTAAAAATTGTCCAAAATATAATCAATTCGTTTGAAGTACCTGAATTTATTTGTTTAATTGTCCCCATTTTTGAGAACTTCCTAAAATTTTCAGATATTAACACTGAGTTAAAAAACATTGTTCAAAAAAGTAGACCATATAAAAAAATTATTATCGTCTCTGATATATTAGATGAAGAAAATGAATTTTTTCAAAATTTTACAACGATTGAATCATTTGTTAAATTTAGTAATTTTTCTGAAAAAAATCAGCAAACAATTCTTCAAAAAAAAATTAAATTTCAAGGATATAAAATGCCGTTACAAAACATAATTGAAATGGAAAATCAAGTAGTCAAATGGGATGATATCATTGATGAAGCTACTTTATTAAAATTAGCAATTGGCAAAGAAGAAATATTAGTTAATAACTTTATAAGTAACGAAGAAATTCCATTTTATGTTAAAAGATTCTTTATTGAAATTAATGAAGATAAATATAGTGAATATTTTGAGCATTCAAATCGGTGGATGAATAATTGTTATATTAGAAACACGAGTCATAAATATTGCGAACAAAACTTTTGTACCAAAATTATAAGCCAACGTGATATATTCATTGCAATATTTGATTCTCCAGGAATGGGAAAATCAACAATTATAAATAGATTAGCTTGTTTGCTTCGTAAAAAGCCTTATTGGATAATAAAAATAAACTTGAATGAATGTACTACCATTTTCTACAACCTTTCCAAAGAAAAGCGTAAATCTGTATCATTAAATGAATTATTAATTTTATTAAAATATCCAAAACTATCTGAATTTGAAGAAAACCTTTTTAATATCCCTAAACACATAATTTTATTAGTAGACGCTCTAGATGAAATTTGTCCAGAATATTCCGACTTAATTCTAAATTCACTGATCTCTATAGCCAGTAACAGAAATATTAGAAAAATAGTTCTGACTTCTAGACCACACGTTTTAAGAAAATTGAAAAATAAAAATATCGAATTTGACATGTATGCTCTAAAACACCTTTCTAATGAAGAAACTATTAACTTTCTTACAAATTTTTGGTATAATAAATTAGACGAACAATATGATGAAGCTAAGTGGTACAAAATAAACGAGTTCGCAAATAAGTTACATGGTATTTTGATAAATAATAATGGATGGAATAAAATTCAGACTCTTATAGGTATACCTTTACAAATTAAGATGATTGGAGATATTTTTACAATTCAATGTAATAATTTTTTGAAAAACAAGAAAAACCATATAGAATTACCTACGAAATTAAATCTGAATTGGTTGTACATAGAGTTTATTAATCGACAAAAAGAGATTTATATTGAGGAAAAATGTAATGCCGCAGGAAATGCAGCTTCAATAAAACTTTTAGAAAATTCCTTTAATAATGCGATTAACGAGTTTAAAAGGGAAGCAATCAAATTAGAGTTTCCACCAAGAGCACATTTGTGTTTTGATATACTTTCATCACCTAGAAGTTGTGATGAAAATGATTTACTAAAAATGGGTATTCTAATAAAATCAAATAAAAACGTTTATTTCGCTCATAAAACACTATCGGAATATTTCGCTTCACAGCATATTTGCGAATTAATACTCAACAATAAAATATCTAAATTACTTCTAGAGATTAATAGTTTTAAAAATAATTCGTTTTTGTATTATATGCTACAAGATCATTCAATACCTGAGGAATTTTTACTACATACTTTCCGTATAGAATCTGTACTATTTAATTTCGACGCACACTTAATTAAGCTTTTTATTCAGAAATTCGGTTACGAAAAATTATTTAGATGTTTGTCATTAATTGATTTAAAAACGGTTCATCGTGTACTTGGCAGGAATTTAATTGACATACTGAAAGATTTAAAAAATGTTAATCTTAAAGGAATAAATGGCATAACACCACTGCATTTAGCATGCCAATATGGTTCGAAAGAAATGATAGACCTACTGATAATTAAAGGACATTCCGTTAAGGTTTCTGATGGATATGGGAAATCACCTCTACACTTCGCTGTTGCAAGAGAGGGATCAATAAACGAAAATTTCCATATTATAGAATTGTTGTTGAAAAAAGGATATCGAATTGAAATTAGGGATAATAATGGAGGAACACCATTACATTATGCAGTTAAGTTGCAAAATAAAGATTTAATTAATTTTTTGTTGAATAAAGGGCATTTATTTAATGTTACAGATTATGCTGGGAGAACACCATTACATTATGCAGCTATATTAAATTATAATGAAATTTCACAGTTTTTAATAAATAATGGACATCCTATTGATGTAATCGATATTTTTGGACAAACGCCATTACAATATCAAAATCAATTATGTGAGAACGATACGGCTGATTTTTTGTCGGATAAAATTTGTAAAGTTGATACTCCTGACAAATATAAAAGAAAATCATTGTATTGTGAATCTCAGCTGAATCAGGACGATACTGTAAATTTACCGATTTATATTGGTGATGTAGATGGAAAGAAACAATTACACATTGCAGCTAAATTTGGTAAAACTAAAATTATAGATTTATTGTTAAAAAAAGGACATCCCATTGATATTAGTGACATGGAGGGAAAAACTCCTTTACTCTATGCATTTGAATCAAAACAAACGGGCACTGTAAAGTTCTTGTTAAATAAAGGACATCCTGTTGATATTTGTAATATGTATGGAGAAACTCCTTTACACTATGCAATTGAATCGAAACAGAAAGGTACTGTACAGTTCTTGTTAAATAAAGGACATTCTGTTGATATTTGTAATAAATATGGAGTTACTCCCTTACACGTTGCATCTAAATTAGGTAAAACTGAAATTATAGATTTATTGTTAAATAAAGGACATCCCATTAATATTAGTGATATTAAGGGAAAAACTCCATTACACTATGCAATTGAATCGAAACAGAACGGCACAGTAAAATTCTTGTTAAATAAAGGACATCTTGTTGATACTTGTGATAATTATGGAGTTACTCCATTACACATTGCATCTAAAATTGGTAAAACTCAAATTATAGATTCATTGTTAAATAAAGGACATCCTATTGATATTAGTGACAAGGACGGAAACACTCCTTTACACTATGCACTTGAATCGGAACAGGACGGTACTGTAAAGTTCTTGTTAACTAAAGGACATCCTATTGATATATGTGATAATTACGGAATAACTCCATTACATATTGCATCTAAATTTGGAAAAACTAAAATTATAGATTTATTGTTAAATAAAGGACATCCCATTGATAAAGGGAGATGGATGGAGAAACTTCTTTAAACCATGCATTTAAATCAAAACAGATAGGTACTGCAAAGTTCTTATTAATTAAAGGACATCCTGTTAATATTTGTTATAATAGTGGAATTAATCCATTACACAATATTGCATCTAAATTTGGTAAAAACTCAAATTATAGATTTATTGTTAAATAAGGGACATCCCATTGACATAAGTGATAGGTATAGAAGGAATAAGCACTCATTTACACTATGCACTTACATCGGAACAGGACGGTACTGTAAAGTTCTTGTTAAGTAAAGGACATCCTGTTGTTTTTGTAATATGTATGGAAAAACTTCTTTACACTATGCAATTGAATCGAAACAGAAAGGTACTGTAAAGTTTTTTTAAATAAAGGACATTCTACTGATATTTGTGATATATATGGAGTTACTCCATTACACATTACATCTAAATTTAGTAAAACTGAAATTATAGATTTATTGTTAACTAAAAGACATCCATTTCACTTTGCACTTGAATCAGAACAGGCCGATACTGTAGTCTTCTTGTTAAATAAAGGACATTCTTTATGTTTGTAAATAAAATAAAAGAAATTAACGCAAAGAAAAATTAAAGCGAAGAATTCAATGATAAACATCAACTTTCAATTGGCGTAGAATAATTAATATTTTTCATAGACAAATAAATAAAAATCGTGTATTAAAAAAAAACATGGAACTTTAACTTCAATGAAATTGGTATTTTTTGGTTTGGTTTTCGAAAGGTCCTCCCAGTAAATAAATTTAATTTGTTTGAAATGTCAATTAAAACAAATGAAATTCCATTCTAAATAATTCCATAATATTTAACGAAATTCACTGTATAATATAACCTTTAACCTCGTTTACTTATTCTTTGTTTTTATTGTGATCTGTAATGCAGATGTGTGTATAGAATGTTTTTTGTTAGCCCACACTTTTGGCTAAAAGCACATAATTATTTAAAACACTTTAGAATTCTTTTAGAAAAACACATGGACGTTTTGTTCAGAACGTAGTTACAGAAAACACTAAAACTTTTTTACTTATGTCTGGAACGTTTCTGTCCAAATAAAACTAAAAACACAAGTATCATGATAAATAATTATAATTCCTGTTAGAATGTATAAAAATGGTTGATATTTGGCGAAAACAACAATGTTTGTTGACCTGACTTTTTCATTAGTATTTTACTGTTATTAGGTCTTTTCCTTTGCATTGAAAGTGTAGCTCTGGGCTACACCAATTCTGAAAATATCGTTCCATATATACAAATTGTATGGATGGAACGATATTTTCAGAAGTGACGTAGCTCAGTGCTACACTTTCGATGCAAAGGAAAAGACCTATAGTATCATACAAAATTAGTATTCATATTTTTAAAATAAATATTAAATTCTGCTATTTTTCAACTAAACACACCGAAAACAACTCTAAACACTCCAAAAAAATACTACACACTTCAACCAACCTCGTTAGAAGTGTTTTTGTCAAGCGAATAAGGGAAGCAATACTTTTGTTGTTTTTTGCCAAGAGTCCACCATTTAAAGTCACGTGATTTGAATTGTCTAATTAAACATTCCAACGTCTTGTCCAAATGTCTGCTGTCTATGAATTTGACAGAGTGAGTGTTTTGTGTTTTTGACACACAAGTGTTTCTTTAATAACCTGTCAAGTTGTTCTTGTATACAATAGGTCTTTTCCTTTGCATCGAAAGTGTAGCGCTGAGCTACGTCACTTCTGAAAATATCGTTCTATCCATACAATTTGTATAAACGGAACGATATTTTCAGAAGTGACGTAGCTCAGTGCTACACTGTGGATGCAAAGGAAAAGACCTTATTAGTTTAAATAACAGTAACTAGGTATCTGTTTTGAGGGTGGAATTGAACACAAACACGTAGTGGCTGATTTTATTAATAGTTTTATTATTCTAAGTGACACACACATAAAACTAGAATTTTTACTTTTAGAAGTAGATATTTTTTCAATTAGAATACTAAAAGTTAAAGATATTTAATAAAAAGAACATACATTGCAAGCAAACACGTATCAACTCAATCACAAAACACTGAACTCAAAGTAAACTTAGAGTGTGTGTGTCATCCATTTTGTTTGTTATGCCTTATATTTAATACTCAGATATTGAAGCAGCAGCGGAAATAAAATATAACTGTCCTATATTACCTAAGTAAATGTTATGTATGAATAAATAAATATTTTTTTGTTTTTAGTTTTATTTTACATTTATCTAGGACATTTTATTGGCCGTGTTCATCGTCATCAAACATGTTGTAATGCTGAATAAGCGGTGACGATGAACTGTCAACCGCTGCAGCGCTTTTGGATAATCATAAAGCTTAATTTATAATCGCTGTAACGTAACTTAAGAACTTAACGTAAGAAGTTGAAATATTGAATTTACGTATACTTATTTATAATGTTCGTAACGTAACTTAAGAACTTAACGTACCGTAGGAAGTTCGCCAACTTTTAACTTAACAGCTTAAAACCTTACGGTTAGCCAATGAGACAATTCCTATGGATAATTCTTAGTTCAGCATGTGATAACTGTCAATTATTCTCTTTTAATTTTTTTTTTATTAATGAATTGACAAATACCATTTGTAAACTATTATTCTCCTTTTTGTGTTTATGTTATTGGGGATAAACTTTTTATGAGATATGAGTGTTGTTGCATATACCTATAAACATCAAGTATAGAACTAAACTAAGACACAAAACTAGTTTGCTAGGAAAGATTAAATTCTCATTACTATAAAAAAGTCCAATGCATTATCAAAATAAAACTATGTTTCCTAAAGATAAAAGTGGAGGTAAATTTTCCGATATATATTTTACTCGAATTTTGTTAAATAATGAACAGGTTCAGCGTCATTAGTTGTTATATTTTATTGAAAAAAATGCAGTTTTCTTCTTCTGCTCTTAAATATTCAATGATCCCAACAACTTTTAAAAGTATTAAATTAAGTAACCAAGACGGTTTCAATAATTGGTATCATTTAAACGAACATTTGAAAATACACGAACAAATAAATCTCATTTTCAAAATCTACGTCGTGTCTGATCAGATTTATTAGAAAAAGTAAAAACTATTAAATCGTTGATTCGGAAATGCAAAATTTATTAAGACATAAAACTAAACATTGACGCAGTGTCATTGAAATAATAAATTGTACTATTAAATTTTTGGCTGAACAAAACGTTCGTGGTCCTAGTAACAAATTATTTGAAAGCTCTGGATCTTCATAGTAGAAAATTAAAAGTCCTTTGGTATTTTAAATCGTGGTTTTAATTATTGTCACATGTGCCCCAGATATTGCAGTTGGTAAGTTAAATTGTTTTAAAGATATTTATTATAGTGTTGGTCCATATTTGTGTATGTCCAGCTGTGAAGTATTTTGTAGAATTGTTTTGTTTCATAGAAACTTTTAGCCCTTAAGGTAATGGAAGAGGCATGATTTACAAATAATATTCCAGGGCAACGCAGTCTAGTCAAAACAGTCAATATATGTGTTGGTAGTTTGTGCAACTGTTGCCTAGAACAACGTGTTATTCAGCTTATATCTTAAAACTCATAAATTGCCGAATATTAAATATCATATTTCCTAAAAGAAATATTATTTATTTTAAGAAAACATTGTGTTTCCTCAAGCCCTTTTATAGAGACGTATGGTGTTAGGTCATAATGCCGAGAGTAGAACCCTCATACAGTTAAGGGCTACGAAGCCAAGTTCAAGGCAATAGAGTCTTTATATGATTAAGGCTCTAGTGATATAATTATTGCATGATCACTCCTAAATTCATTCATTGTGACATATTTGATTAAAAACCACGCAAAACGTAAGAATATCAAAAAAATAAATACCTAATTTTGACAAATTTTCTTGCTAAGAGTTATGTCCTTTGCCAATAGATGTAGTAGCCAGAAGATTTATCTTCGAAGTTTCTTTATTTGTGGTTATTGATTTCGCAAACCCACAAGCTAAACATTGAAAAAATAATTTTGAATTTAATTCTACTCTGAATTCTCTGACAAATACTTCATAACCGATTTTTCAGCAGTTATTCAGCAGTTATGACTTTCCAGTGATCTTATATAACCCAATTCACCAATTCATCAGAGATAAAAAATGGGCACATCATTGTATTAGCACTTTGTTCTATACAGGATTTTTCAATGAAAATTATCCACTCTAAATAATTTTAAAGGTGAGGCTTTTATGAAAAAATACAAAAAAGTCTAAAATAATCATATAAATCATATAAAGGGGCAATTCTGCTCGTGTTTACTCGTAACTCTCACGCCCTCTCCCCCCCCCATGGCCACTACTCATGCTTTTTTTTAATGAAACACCCTATTTATTGGTAAGACAATAACTCAATATGAATCCCATATCAGGTCAGAAAACTATGAGATAAGCGCTTACAAAATATTATAAAATGGTTAAAAACTATACATGCATGATTAAAACCGAGCCCCAACAAGGGTAAGTTAGGTGTAAGAAATATCATATGTGGGACATGTTGATAAATGTGGGAATATGGCGATGAATAGTGTTAGCCTATGAGTTTCTTTACGCAAACCTTTTTCAACTCGTACAATTTCTATCACATTTCCCACATATGGTATTTCTTAAAACTGCTTCTTTAATCATACACGTGTATTTTTTAAAATATTTTATGGAGATGTCATATTACATTGTAAGCGCTTATTACTTATTTTTAAGACCTGATGATGGCCTAAGTTTTAAATTATTGATTTAAGAATAAAATTATGGTATTTATAATGAAACATAGTTAATTTTAATAATGACGACAACCATGTCTGTTTTCTGAACCCCTTAAAACTGGTGAGAGTTTTATGAATGGTCGGTTAATGAGGCCTACCATAGGCCTACCATAGTGGGGGGCTAATGAGAACCTCTGATTCGAAGAGAGACACAATTGTCGTACATTATGGTGGTTAGGTTAAATGTTAAAGTTAAAACAAAT